AGCTGAAACAAACAAACTAATGGGTGTTAGATGAAACTAAAACGGCTAAATCAAGAATTTTAGTTTTTAGAATTTTTATTTAAAGAAAGTTAATCTAAAACTAAAAAAAAACTAATATTTTAACTAAGAACTTTAAAGCTTTTTTTTTGTATTGGTATGTACAAGGAGAAGTTACTTTAAGTTTAATATTTCTATCCAAAATACTTGTTTTAACTAAAGAGAACCGTTTTAATCTTAAGAACAATGTTTAATTTTAAGTTTTTGTTTTTTTTTTTGTTTTGAAAAAGAATCCGTTTTAATTTTTTTTTTAATAAAAGTTAATGTCAAAAAACTTAAGAATTTTTAATTTAAAAATATGTTCAATTCAATTTTTTTTAAAAGAAGGTCTTACCATTAGATTCTATATTTGTTTTTGTTCATACTGGTTAAAGAGTAACTAATTATCTACTTAATACGAAGATTATGTTAGTTGCTATAATTAACATATAAACTAAATAATTAAACAGTAACTAAACTAAAAATAATAAATAATAAACATATGAATAAAAGGAACAGTCCGTTTGCTAGGCACAATAGTCTTTCATCAAACATTTGACGATCCCTTCTTCTTCTTCTAACGTGCCGACGACGGTGCTTTCACAGTCGCTCCTTTTGATGCTTCTTCCTTCCTTTTTCGCATGCATGTTACTTCCTGTACCTTCTTCTTCTTTCGACCTGAAACAAAAACATGCGAACAAACCGTTAATCGATCGAGCTGCTTACCTTTTTTGATGTTGATTCTGGTTTATTCTTAAGTGATTTGGGGTTCCGATGATTTTCCGGTGGAGACGGCAATGATGCTGTGAAGGAGACCCTTCCGTCTGAGCCTTCGATCGAACGCCGGCGGTAACGAATTTCTTGAGGGTTTTACGGCGCCGTGTTCATTAGCAGTGTCGTTTTGATGATTTCCGACGCGGTCGGGTCCTGATGATGATTCACGGTGCCGTCGGGTTTTACGTCCGGTTGGTGTATTCGCAGTCGTTTATGGGTTCCCTTTTCCGGTGAGTTCGTTCTACCCTCTGGTTAGGGTTTTTGCCTTATGCGTCGTTAGGGTTTTTGGATTTTTCTGACGATTATTTATATGACTCTGTTTCGTTGGTTTGTGGGCTTTTCGTTTTGCAGATTTTTCGGAAGCTGATGAGTTTTGACTGAACGGTTTCGTCATGTTGTTGTTGAGTTTTCGGTGTTGTTAGGGATCTGTGATGTTGCATTTTTCTGTAGAAATTTTGATGCAGTTTTTCCGGATTTCTTGTTTTAGCTGTTGCGCTGTTGTGTGAATAGGCCTGAATTTTTCTGTTGAATTATCGGAGCTGGTTTGTTTGGAAACCGGTTTTTTGGAACTATTTTTGAACTGGATTCTGAACTGGTTTTTTGACTTGGTTTTTGAACTGTTTCCGCTTGTTGAACCTTGTTGCCATTGTCGGATTTTTGTTGGAATGGTTTTCTTTTCAGGAAGATCGGAGTTAAGGTCTATTTGAGGCAAACCGTCTTCCTGAGGAAAAATCATTTTTTTCAAAACTGACTTTTCAAATAAGCGCTTTCGGTCAAACAACTTATTTCAAAAGCACTTTTCCTCTTCTCTTTCTCAGTGCCTCGGAACTAAGAATAGATTGTTGTCGGATAGGCCATTGACCGAGAAACAAACCCGATGATGATACCACTCTGAGGGTATCGAACTTAACCAATAAAAGTTTATCTCTTTGTCTTGTTTTGCAGGTACGGAAGAATCGGGAAAGTCGGAAAAGATCGAATAATCGAAAACTTTAGGATTTTTAGAAATTGTATTTTTTATGTAAAGTGTAAATTTAATATTTTTGTAATTTTATGTTTTATTATTTTTTTTAAAGAAATGTTATAAATAACATTATTTATTTACTAAATTCTTGTTTTTGATATGCAACAATGAGAACTATTATAACATATGCCTTGGTTAAAAGTATAAAAATGAAAATGCCGTAAAAAATGAAATAAAATTAATTTAATTTAAACTGAAGAATAAGGACAAAAATTGTTGAGAAAAATGAGCTAAGCCTATTTAAAAATGAAGCAAGAACAAAATTAGAAATGAAATTGATTTTTTTTTAATATATTGACTGATTTAAAGAAAACGAAATTAACTTAACGAGATATGCTTGATTAACAACTGAATTGAAACTAATAAAAAATGAAAACTGAAATGAAACTATTTTTGTTCCTTTGATTTTTAAAATGAAATAAAATGCAATGCAAATGGTTCAAATGAAATGAAAACGAAATACAAAGTACATATTTATATTAATTCCTGATTTCTCCAACTTATCTGCCTAATCTTATTTCCGACACAAATTCCGATTGAACTTCGTCAACCCGATCCAATGGCCCAAATTTCCTGCCCAAATTAAGTTGTGCCTGGTGATAGAAACGGTACCGGCCCTGAACGAAGTAAAACAACAAAAAGTAGAGAAATCCGATTAACAGTGAACAGAACTAAACTCCGCACTAAAAATTCAATTGTGTCTCCGCTAACTAAATCCCATGTCCTGAACCGACTCGGCCAAAAAATCATGATTAAACAGGTCAATAAATCCACACACAAATCGAAATTTCCACTGCTTTTCCTTTAAGAATTGACTGGCAGATAGCAGAAAAAGCAGAAAAATGAGTGCCTATAAAATAAATTCCGCAGAGTGAATTCTCGCACTACTTTGAACCACACCACTGACATCTCAACACAATCAGCCCTATATGATAAAACAACATCTCAGAGATCCCCTGACAACAAAGTCTCAGCCTTTGAATAAATTACTGTGTCTCGAAGATTTCGACGTCGAAATTACTGTAAAATTCCGTTCTTCCTCAAATGAAATAAAGAACTCGTAAATGGAGATCCTAATTATTCGAGGGATTTTCTGACGATAACCCTGCTCCCTAAACGGTCAGCAAACAGTGAATAAATAACCATTTCGCCCTTCAACAGTTAAAGTGTGCCTGATGTGATTCTCCTGCAAAAATAAACAGACTACGTAACCCGTTAGTAGTTAGTTAAACGCCATACGAAATGAAATGGGGTGCAAGATGAAACGACTAATCTTATGGCAAAATTTGAGGTATTACAAAGAGTTTTTTGCTATTCCAAAATTTTATTTATATCCTACAACCTTTAATGATAGGTAATTACATGAAATTAGACAATGACTCTTCTATACATTACAATTGAAAGTTAGAACAAAACAGTGGAAAGCTAAAAGGTCCGGGTTCATGGGACTTTGACGCGCATATTGCAGAAAGACAAGTCACTTGTAAAAGCCAAATACAATTGTAAAACACAAATATGGGTGAGACCTAGAAGTAGAGGTGGCAAATAGGCATCTCCTATCCATTTAGGCCCATCCCACAAAAGTCCGTAAAAATAACAGAGCGGAACAAGACGATAATAATTGAGGATGTAGGCCTAAAGCCTATGCCCATTTCGCAAAAAAGTGAGGGCGGGGCAGAAAAAGTCTGCAGACACTACACCTTTTAAATTTAAAAACACAAATATCTATATAAATGCTCATACCCGCAAAAAAAACGGGACAGAACAAACATATTAGAGGATGAGGGCCTAAATCCATGACTCGCTCCGCACTTAACTGCAGGCAAAACGGGTATGAACAACATACCGAACCCATTTTGCCATCCTTATGTAAAAGTCCCAGTATTTTCTAGCTTGTTTGCTCTTCTAATCATTTTTGGCTTTGAGGGAAATACGGACATAATGCAAAATTATGGGTCACCCATATTGCTCTATATTTCTCATTTGCTTTGTTTTCTCCTCTTTCTCTCATTTGAATATATTCCATAATGAGTTTCACTATTTTAGGAAATATTTAAAAGCAACAAACATCATAGCATAAAAAGGAAATAAAATCAAATAAAAACACACAAAAAATTATAATGATAAGAGACTTAAAAACACGATAAAAATCAGACTGCCACAAACAAACAAGACAAAGAACCAATTGAATTATGACTTGTATGAACTATGAAGAAATAAATGCAACCAAATATTATGCGGTAATTCTAATCCTTCATCAAAATACAAAATGCACATAACAAAGGAAGTTAACATGGTGTTTCCACGGTGAATCATGATCACTGGAAAACCATTACTCACAATAGTAAGATACATCATTATTTTTATAAATAGCTTAGATGGTTCAGACGTAGACCACATCCACCTTAAGCACAACCAGAAGTTAATCATTCAAACCCACTTTCTACTAATTAAGACCATTGGGATTAGGCGGTAAATTGGTAATCATGCACAAAAATAGAGTCAAAACACAACCATGGACAAGACTAGACAAAGATCATTAACATTTGACTGTACTGACTTAAGGAGGACATGTCTTACTAGTTAATCCTAGTAATAGCAAAGCAAACGTTTAGCAAATTGAATTCACTAACAGAATGTATTCTTGCGATACAAGAAGCTTTTAATGTACACTTCAAAGAAATTCACCACCGGTGATAAATTCAATCTAAAGTAGGCACATACGGTGGTTTGCAACAGGGAAACCTGGATGTCCTACCTCCAGAATGGTCTAGTATTCTTTAGAGCTTCTTTTTATACTCTGAGAGGCATTACCAACATGGAAAGCTGTTATTGTTGTATGTGTCAACAAACATTTTTGGCAACAAAGTCACAGAACCCGGCGAGCACTGCTTCGTGTTGTTCTCTTCACGCGTAAGACTTCAAAAAATCAAGCACAATCCCTAGCGGATAGAAGTTAAAACCTAAGTTAAACTCATCTATCTACATGTACAATTTTATAGTCAGTCCTAACTCCTATCCTAATAGCTAACAGTCAGTAGTTGGGTGTACATCCGCTTGCAATGAGTAATTCAATGAATAGAAGAAGAATGTAGCAAAATGATTCATCAGTCATAGCTTCTTCTCTGCACCACAGTGGAGCTTCTTCTCAAAAACACTTTGGCTATCAATTTTGCACCACCAACCAACTACAACCAGGAACTTTCTTCAACCCTTTCCGCTTCATGGCTAACCTCAACTCATTGGCATCCTTCCAAGAAGAACGGTCCGAAAAAAGATTAGCAGTTAGTACATAGTTTGCCCCCAATTCAGACTCCAGTTTAGACATTAGATCATCGTCCATATTAGGAACCCACCCATGATTTCGACAGGCACCGAGAAAGCTCCTCAATATCACCCCATTAGGCTCCACAGGCATGTTCTTGATGATATCATAAGCTTCTTGAATCAAGCCAGCTCTTCCTAACAAATCAACCATACATCCATAATGCACAACAGTTGGCTTTATGTCATACAATCTAACCATCCTATCAAAATACATTTTCCCCTCGTAAACAAGTCCCATGTGGCTGCAGGCAGACAGTACCACAGAAAAAGATAAACCGTCAGGTTGCAATCCCATATTCTCCATCTGGTTAAATAGCAAAATAGCATCCTTTTCACGGCCATGATTTGCAAGAGCAGAAATCATGATAGTGCACGACTGCAAATTCCTTTGAGGCATTAAATCAAAAATCAAACGCGCTTTCTCAATCTGCCCACATTTTGAATACATCTCAAACAAAGCAGTTCCCAACTCAACTCCCATCTCAATGTGATTCCTTATAACATAGGAATGAATAGACTCACCAGCACAGATATTAATCATTTTAGTACAAGCAGAAAGCAAACTAACCAAAGTCACATAATTCGGCTTTTCATTTGCCTCTCTCATCTCTTGAAACACATTCAATGCCTCTAAAGGGTTGTTAAAACAAACATATCCAGCAATCATGGAGCTCCAGGAAACAACATCTCTATCAGACATTTCATCAAACACCTTCCGCGCAAACTGAATTTCACCACAATCAGAGTAAAACCTCAAAAGGGCATTACCAACATATCGATCAGAACAAAACCCAGTCTTAAAGGTCAAAGAATGAATGACCCCACCAAGTGAAATAGACGAAGATCGAGCACATGCCTTGAGAACAAAAGGGTACGTGAAATTGTTAGGGGAAAGAGGGGAAGCTTGAAGTTGGCAAAAGAGGTAGAGAGATTGGAGTGGGGTTTGGGTGTTGGAGAAAGCTCTGATGAGGGTGTTCCAAGCGAAGAGTGGAGGGAGGATGGGTGAGGAGTGGAAGAAGGAATTGGCATAAGAAAGGGAAATGGAAGAGGCTGATAAGAGAAAATGGGAGATGATGTTGGGGTGATGATGGAGGGAAGATTTGAGGAAGAGAGAGTGGAGTTGAAGGAGATGATAGAGTTTTGTTGATTTCTGAATCAGGTTCAGGCTTATTAGCACAGTAGAATCCTCATGAAACATACCAAATTTCTAAGCAAGAGACTTTTATTTGTCAAATATGAACTGGTAGATAATGCGATGAACCCTAAAATTGCTTGATCAAAGTACAACGAAATTATTGCGCAAATGCTGAGAGAATAAATTGGTAATGGCGGAGCTTGTGATTGTGAGTCTAGCTTCCGTACTGGTTAAGAAACACATGTAAAGAAGAATGGCTGTCGTGTTCTTGGATGGTGGAGTAATGAGTGAGACAAAAGTGGAGGACCCTCAACAACGGGTAATAGCCGGTAAAGGATAAAGAAACAAGATAGAAATGGAAATATTGGTAAGATAACGGTCCCATTCACTCACCACTTGTATCTACTATCTATGCTAACATGTGAGTTCATGAAACTTGTCTATTACTCATTTGCTAGGGTCGTGGAATTAGGGTTGAGCCTAACTCATCTCTATAAAACCAATTTTAAAATCAGCTTGTAAGGTGAGGATTGACTCTTTTTATAAACACAATACGTGACATATTTCTAAGCAATATGGGACTAAATTCATCCCTTCAAAGCTAACACAACGAGGTGTTAGGGGCTGCAATGAGACAAGCCAAAGTGCTGCAATTAAGGCGACTAGGGACGGACCACAATTATGACGGAAAGTCCAACACAGGGGATAGCAAACAGCCACATATTGAATACTTTTGAGATTCTTTGGGAGAGACCAAACAGCCACATCAAACAATTTTCACCAGGATTTTGTTTTACCAGTACAATCATTCAAATCTTTACTTGGATGTAACTGTTGATATATTATAAATTACTCTCAATGTCACCTTCTGTTTCTTTATTTATACTGAGATTTCACTACTTCACCTCTTACTTTCATCATTCTCCTAATTAGCTCTATCTTGTTCCTTTCTTCACCAGCAAAAACTACAGGTTCTCTCTCTCTCTCTCCTCTTCATCTTGGATTCATATTAATTTCATTCTACAGGATTGGAAAAGTCACTTCTGATGGTGGGGTCACGGCAGTGAATCATTTATGTTAATTTCATTCTTTTTGTTACCTGGTTTCGTTCCATGTTATTTTCTGTTGTATATCATTTCTTGGATCATGAATCTGTATTCTTTGTTTTGTAGTCTGTATTCATAGATGTTGCTTAGTATTTTTGGATTTGGAATTGATTCGGTTTAGATTGATGTTACTGAGTAAATATTCATTTTAATATCACTTTCAGAAGATCTTGTGGACATAACATAATAAAGTAACTTACCTATTAAGAAGATGACGACTATAACAAATGTGAGCGAGTATGAAGCAATTGCAAAGGAAAAATTGCCAAAGATGATTTATGACTTCTATGCATCAGGGGCAGAGGATCAGTGGACTTTGAAAGAGAACCGGAATGCATTCTCAAGGATTATGTAATCTACAAACTTCTTTTTATTTGATTTCCAACTTCCCTTTTACTGAATCCCTTATTTCAATATCTAATGTTTACTGAGAATAGGTTTAGGCCACGTGTTCTTATCGATGTAAGCAAGATAGATATGACAACATCTGTTTTAGGCTTCAAAATATCAATGCCTATCATGATTGCTCCTACGTCCATGCATAAGATGGCTCACCCTGAAGGTATGCCATCATACCTGGTCTGTGTTACATTGAGATATTGCCATTGCATCCGGTCTTTTGTTATTGATGTGCTTTTCATTAAAGCAGAAGCCGATGATTCTGTGTTTGGCATTGAAGTTTTTTGTTCACTACAATATATAAAAACTTGTTAGTTAAAACAAATCATGCAACTTTTGTGCAGGAGAATACGCCACTGCTAGAGCAGCATCAGCAGCTGGCACCATCATGGTTTGGTTTCCACCATATTTACTCTCTACTCTAGTTTAATTTCCAAATCAAGCAGTATTTTTCTTCCTTGTATCTTTTCAAGTGAAGTGGATGAAAATGGAGTGTATGTAAAACTGAAATCATAGAAAAGGATTTAGATTTAAATGGTTTGTTAATGGACATGATTTACCATTAATCCCACTTGGTGCCAAAAGTCTACTATTATTGCTGTATTTATTACAATCTGGGGGGTTTATTTTCAAAAGCTTGTGACAGACACTATCCACAGCGGCTTCTTCTAGTGTTGAGGAGGTTGCTTCAACAGGACCTGGTATCCGTTTCCTCCAACTCTATGTGAGTATATTGCTCTCATTTCTACTTTACATGATTTCTTTTTCTATGAAGTCTGTCACTTGTCCCTTCCTTGTTGAACAAAAACATTTCGTTGTTGAGTAAACATTTCTTAGCAGCTTAGCTTAAATCAGAAATTTACTTTTGATATACGAGTTTCATAGTTTTTTTGTGTTCGCCTAGTGCTATATTGAGTCGGCAGATTAAGGTTGGCTCCTGCATGCTGACGCATGGAAATTCACTGCTTGCATGTGATTTTTAAGAATCCAGTTTTCCTACAATTTGTATATCAAATCAATTTTTTTTATTAAAAACAAAAAGACCAAAATAAAGGGAAGAGTGCGATGTATTCATGGAGGAATATATATTTACATCTTCATCCTCGTATAGCTCATGCGGTTCTGACAATTCTTTTCCCGACTACCTAAATATCATTGTCAGCTTATTTCTGTGGAGACCAACACACCCTCTCAGACTTGAGACCATATTTTAGAGAATGATAGAGCTGGCCAACCTTGTTAACATTATGAAAGTTAAATTAAAAAACCAATTTAGAAAACAAAAACATAAAGGACAAATTTGTGATAATAAAATAACTTCAAGTGTAGAAACAATTGTCTAACATTAGTGATATGAACTTGTTAATGTTACAAATGTCAAATGTCTTATTTGATAAAGACTAATTTGTTACCATAACAAAACATTATTCACCTGCGACAATACACAAGTACTAGTTTGATTATCAAGATTCTCAAGTATTGTGTGGTAACATAATTTGTTTATGTTATTTTCTTCTTAGGTGTTTAAGGACAGAAATATAGTTACTCAGCTAGTGAGAAGAGCTGAAAATGCTGGTTTCAAGGCAATTCTCCTTACTGTTGACACTGCAGTGGGTGGTCATAGAGAGGCTAACATAAAAAACAGGTTGACAATCATTGGAAATTTCAGTTGAATTGATTAATCTCTATTTTAAAATAAATTTTCCTGATTTTTTTACATGGAGTTTTGTGCAGATTTACATTTCCACCACACTTGAGATTTAAACATTTTGAAGCCATGGTTTCTGAAAGGGTGTGTGATTAGTATGGAAATTTCAAACCAGATGATTTTTTCTGTTATTGTCATCTTAATGTTGCTTTATTATTACTGAAATTGGATATAACCTTGCAGACTAAAGATCCGGTCTCCATTGTTAATGGCCTATATGACCGATCACTCAATTGGAAGGTGATATAATGATATATGATCTTTCTTAATACACGACATTGAATGTGGGATGTCATGATATATATTATAGCATAATTGTAACAGGATGTGAAATGGCTTCAAACAATAACATCATTGCCAATCATACTCAAGGGTGTACTTACTGCTGAAGATAGTAAGTTTATTAAACAAATATATTCTGACGCCATGTTTCCTTATCCATTTGGTATTTTTTTTTATATCAATCTTGAATTTTAATTCCGCAATTGGCAATCCAACCCTATGCTAATAATGTAGCCAGGTTAGCTATACAAGCTGGAGCTGCTGGAGTCATTGTTTCCAATCATGGTGCTCGCCAACTTGACTATGTTCCTGCAACTATTATGGCTTTGGAAGAGGTCTGATTTTGGCCTCTAGTGCTATCATTATTGGTTTAATTTTGCTAAATTTTTATGCTGCGATAAAACTTCAAGCTGCTCTATTTTTAATCCTTCCAGGTTTTCTTTTTCATTGCCTTGTTTCCTTTTGTTTGCTTTGTAGAATAATTTCCTTTTCCAACTTATTACCTTGAATAGGTTGTGCAAGCTGCAGAAGGGAGAGTTCCTGTTTTTTTGGATGGCGGAGTCCGTCGAGGTACAGATGTTTTTAAAGCACTGGCTCTTGGAGCCGCCGGCGTGTTTGTAAGTATATATATGAAAATTTGATTATTACGAACATTTAAAATAATCTTATTGTGATGTGGTTTGTTAGTATTTTATTAAGGCTTTGTTTGGGAGTTTGGAGTGGGAAGGGAGGGGAGGACTTTGAAAAATGGGAAGGATCGCATGAAAAGTATAGAAAGATTTGGGTGTTTTATTTTTATTCAAAAACCAAAATCCCCCTAATTTGGGGAACTAAAAAATTGTATGGGAGGGTTTAGACAAATTGTTTAAATTAAATTTACGTGTTATAGAATTTCAAAAATTAAAAATATGTTAATGATAAACACTCTTTTATTATTCTATAGGAAATCTTTTTTTTTCAAAAAATGTTAATGATTTCTCTATATTTTAAAAAAAATCGTTTTTCAAAGCCCTCCCTTCACCTCTTCTCCAAACTCCCAAACAAATCCTAAAGGGGTGTAATATAAAAAAAAGTTTAGCTAAAATTTTGAACTCATAACATCATAAAAGTTAAAGGACTGACTTAAGAAATTAAACTATCTTATAGTACCTTGGTAGCAATTTTACCTAAGATTTTCATCTTGTAATATGCCAGATTGGAAGACCTGTGGTGTTCTCATTGGTTGCTGATGGTGAGGCTGGTGTAAGAAAAGTCCTTGAGATGCTTCATGATGAACTTGAAATAACCATGGCACTTTGTGGTTGCCCTTCACTTAAGGACATAACTCGTGACCATGTTGTGACAGAGCGCGACCACCCAAGAATCGCTCCTAGGTTATGAGACATCATTCTCTATAGTGTTGGAGCTATCACTAATAAACAATATCATAGGAGCTTGTGGGTTTCCTAATGATTGAAATAGGGTAGTTATTTATATATTATGTTTTAATTACGACAATTATGATTATGTGTGACGGATATGTATTTGTGTAATAAATAGGAAAATTATGGGAAAATGGGAAGGAGAAATACAAGTTCTCTAAAACTTGGAAGGGAGTCCCTGCAACATATATTACCTTCTGTTTTTGTAATTGTATTATTTCCATAATGTATTGGTGTGGATTGTTTAGTGGGTTCCCACTCTATGAAAATTTATACAATGTAACATTGTTTTAAATAAATGATGCTCTATTCTAACTTGAAGTATTTGCAAAACAATTTTCAGAAGAATTTTGTTTTAGTAGTACAATCATTAAAATCTTTAGTTGGATGTGACAACTAAACAAACCACATTATATTTTAGGCAGAAATTTGTTGATAATATAAGTGGGAACATGTGGTTCATATCCTAGTCACTGTCACTGTCACCTTCTGTTTCTTTATTTATACATTCACTACTTGACTTCTTAGTCTTTATTCTATACTCAGATTTCATTTTATTTTTTATCATATCTTATTTTCTTCATTTTCCTAATTAGTTCCATATTGTTCCCTACTTCATCTTGTTACTTACTTCAGCAGCCCAAACTACAGGTTCTCTCTCCTCTTCATCTTACTTTATATTAATTTCACTCGCCTAATTAGTTCCATATTGTTCCCTACTTCTGCGGCACGGGAGGCCCACGCGCGGGTGTTCTGGCGGTGTGTGAGGAGACAGTAGGCGGCGATCTTTTAGGGATAAGTCGGATTGAAAGAAGTGTTTCTGATGGCAGGGTGGTTCGCCAGAAGGTCGTCGGAATAAGCGGCAGCAGTGGTGGCAGGACAGTGCTGACAGGGAAATAGTGATGATCTAGTTGTACTGTAGTCTGTATTTATAGGCGGTGCTTAGTATTTTTGGATTTGGATTGGTTTGATGTTATTGAGTAATTATGCGTTTTCACTTTCAGACGATCTTGTGGACATATAAGAAATTAACTTACCTGTTAAGAAGATGATGACCGTAACAAATGCGAGCGAGTATGAAGCAATTGCAAAGGAAAAGTTGCCAAAGGAGATTTATGACTACTTTGCATCAGGGGCAGAGGATCAGTGGACTTTGAAAGAGAACAGGAATGCATTCTCAAGAATTATGTAATCTACAAACTTCTTTTATTTGATTTTCATCTTCTCTTTAGCCTCGTGTCTTATGTTGAATCCCTTATTTCAATATCTATGTTTGCCAACGACAGGTTCAGGCCACGTATTCTTATCGATGTAAGCAAGATAGATTTGACAACATCTATATTAGGCTTCAAAATATCAATGCCTATCATGATTTCTCCTACAGCCGCGCAAAAGATGGCTCACCCTGAAGGTACTCATTGTTCTGTTACAATAAGCTACTCATTGTTGTTATGTAATTTTTCTTAATGCAGAAACTCTTGATTCTTCATGTGTTTGACATTGAAGTTTATTGTTTTCCTACAATATAGAAATACTTCTAAGTTAAGCAATTTTGTGTGTGTAGGAGAATATGCTACTGCTAGAGCAGCATCAGCAGCTGGCACCATCATGGTTTGATTTCCACCATATTTATTAATTCTCTACTCTAGCTTAATTATCCGCAAGAAATATTTTGCTTCCTTGCAGTTTTTTTTTAATTTTTTAATTTTTTAATTTTTAACTTTTTATATATTTTACTTGGCAAATGTAAGTTTATAATTCAAATGAGATGGATGAAAATGGAGTAGTGCATTGGATGTTATTTGAAAAGATTTAGATTTAAATCATTAAATAGTTTGTCAATAGACATGATTTACCATGATTCTTTCATTTTGCGAAAAAACATTTATTATTGTTTTACTCATTCCATATTAAAACACCATAGAGATCCAACGAAGTTTTGCGCTGGCTGTCAACTGCCTAACACAACCCTCTCCTTTTATCTGGGCTTGGGACCAGCTATGCATAGCAAAGCTAACATAGGTAGAATTTCATTCAATATTAAAATATAAGCAAAAAAGTATAATCGGCCCAAATTTGGAACAAAATACCTGTATTTTTAATACGGAGGGAGTATTTAATACCTGGGATATTCATTTTGATAATTTTGTGACAGACACTATCCTCATGGGCTACTTCCAGCATTGAGGAGATTGTTTCAACAGGACCTGGCATTCGTTTCCTCCAACTCTATGTGGGTATATTGTCTTTATTTCTTCTCTTCACTATTTTATTTTTTATGACGTGTGTGTCACTTGTCTCCTCAAAACACAAAGAACATTTCCTAGCAACTTAGTTTAAACAATTACTAACTTTTGATGTATGATATAATCCTTGCTACATTCAAACAATTACTAACTTTTCAATTATTTGTGTTATAATCTAATATGTTTGTTATTTTCTTCTCCTAGCTGCTTAAAGACCGAAATATGGTTACTCAGCTTGTGAGAAGAGCTGAAAATGCTGGTTTCAAGGCAATTGTTCTTACTGCAGACTCTCCCGTCATTGGTCGTAAAGAGGCTGGCATAAAAAATAGGTTGATAATCATTGCAAAATTTCATCTGAACTGATAAGTTTTATATTTAAAAATTGGTAGTAATATACTCGTGCACGTGCACGGATAACACCGAGTTGGTTACTAGATTAAGATAAACACTACAGAATTAAAATAGCTAGAAGTTTGTATTGGAGATTTAAAAAAAAATTCCTGGTTTGATTATTGGAAATTTTTACAGATTTAAACTGCCATCATATCTGAGAATGAAGAACTTTGAAGTCAGGGATCTTGAAAAATTGTATAAGGTGTGTGATCATTACTGAGATTTTAAATTAGATGAATTTTCTTCTTCTGTTATTGTCATCTTAATGTTGTTACTTTTGGTATAACTATTTGAGAAATTTGATATAACCTTGCAGACTAAAGACAATGGTGGTCACACCTCTGTTGTTAATGGCCTATATGACCAATCACTCACCTGGAAGGTGATATATGATCTTTTACATATATGTGACATTGAATATGGAAGTCACAATAACTAGTATGGCAAACCTTGTAACAGGATGTAAAATGGCTTCAAACAATCACCCCATTGCCCATTTTAGTGAAGGGAGTTCTTACTGCTCAGGATGGTAAGCTTATCAAAGAGATACATTCTAGAGTTTACCTTCAAAATAAACTATAACTAAAATGAAACATTTAATTACCCAACGATTATAACTTAATGAGAGCATAAATAAAAACTCTTTAACGGAAAGTGTGAACCAATTAAATCCTATATTTTTATTCAAGGCTTCCTTATCCGTTTGATCTTTGAAATTAATTCCAAAGTCCTATGCTAAAATGCAGCAAGGTTAGCTATACAAGCCGGAGCTTCCGGAATCATTGTTTCCAACCATGGTGGTCGCCAACTTGATTATGTCCCTGCAACTATTATGGCTTTAGAAGAGGTCCGATTTAAGTTTCTAATACTATCACTCTTAGTTTACTTTAACTACTATGGTATATATGATGCATTAAAGCTATCACTCTGATTTAACTTTCTTCTTCACTGCTTTGTGTCCTTACTATAATAATTGCGATTCTTTTGTTTACATGTGTTGATCCTATAGAATATATTTTTTTTCTTCAATTTATTACCTTGTATAGGTTGTTCAAGCTGCTGAAGGAAGAGTTCCTATTTTTATGGATGGTGGAGTTCGCAGAGGGACAGATGTATTTAAAGCATTGGCTCTTGGAGCCTCTGGTGTATTTGTAAGTATACGATGTTATAAATTCCTATTTACTAGTATTCTAAGTCCCATATTTCTATAATATATCAGATTGGAAGACCTGTGGTGTTCTCGTTGGCGGCAGAGGGTGAAGCTGGTATAAGAAATGTACTTAAGATGCTTCATGATGAACTTGAAATAACCATGGCACTTTGTGGTTGCCCTTCACTCAAGGACATAACTCGTGACCATGTTGTGACAGAGTGGAACCTCCCAAGAATTGCTCCTAAGTTATAGTGTCGGAGCATGAGGAGGGTACTCCTTGAGAAACTGGCAAACTATAGGAATTTAATTTTGTAATCTTATAACTGTTTCATGTTATAAAAATGAGATTTTCTAAAACTTTCAGTAATATATTTTGACATGTTTGAGTTTAATTGTGTATTTTGACAGATATGAGTTTAGATGGTAGATTGAAAAAAGGCCATATAACTGTTTTGCCATGAATTATCATCCATCAGTTAGTAGTAACTGCATGTTTACTCATTACTTGTAGATTGTGGTAGAAATATATCTATCACATTGCAACACTAGTTAGACACTTGAAACATGGTTGGCCTGATGTATAGAACAAAAACTTATGTTTTGACCATTAAAATGGATAAACTCTGGGGATTGTTTTTTCCACTCTCTATTAGAAGTAATTCATATTTATTAGTTGTACTATTTTCTTAGCCCCTAAGTTTGTTAGAGGGTATTTTAGTATTTTTATCTTATTCTAGTAACCCTAGTTTTAGCTTATAAATAGGGTTGCAATCATTCTAATTTTGTAGTAGTGTGTAGCCGTCATTCTCTTAATAGAATATTTCTCTTTTCATCATTTATTCTACCTTTGCACCAACAATTGGTATCTAGAGCTCCAGTTCAGATTCATTGGGAAACACGAGTGAACGTGAGGTCTTGTGTGTTTGATTTAGATTCGTGTTGAATCTTGAACAAAATCTGATCAGAATTTTAATTCTGTGGGTTGGGAAACACTGTGTGAGAAATCTAAGTGTATTGTGCAAGGTAGAAGATGAACGGAAACGACAACATGAACACCTATTAGCTCGCCAATTCGACGACTCATGTTTGGAGGCTATTTTTAGCGTATTAAAAGACCTACAAGTCTTCCAAGGACTTAGGAAAATTGAAGTCTTGAAATTAAACACT